TTCAGAAAGATTTGGCAATTTGGATAGAGACGCAGCTTTAAATGTTTTTCCTACAAACCTCAAGGTACCAGGTGGCTCATGAATGCTGCCATGGTGGAATGGATGGAGCCATGCCATAGGAGTGTGAGGAGCTCCCCAGCTTGCTCAGCAGCAGACCTGGAAGTGGACCAGAACCACTTCCGGGTCTGCCAAGGAGTGCACGGGGGCCCCCAGCTCAGCAACTGGTGCCTCCTGGGTCTGGGGGGGCACTTGGGGTCCTGATCCAGCTGATCGCTGAGCTGGGGGTGCAGGGCGCCCCCCCCCCATGTGCTTGACAACAGACCCAGAAGTACTTCTGGTCCACTTCCAGGTTTACTGCTGAGCACATGGCAGGAGGGCACACTCCTGTGGGATGCTCCATCTGCCCTACCATTACAGCAGTCATGAGCCATGCCTGGTACCTCAAGGCATGTAGAAAAAACATTTAAAGCTGTGTGTATGGCCAAATCAATGATTTCTCCAAATCAGCATCAAATCTTCAGATTTGGATTTGGCCAAATTGAATCGGGGACAGTGATCTGAATCAACAAATCACTGTCCCTGATTTGGGCTGAATCTGAATCAAATACAGGCCATTTTGCCCACCCCTAATAAATGTAGTGTCACAACACTGCTACTGACAACGTACCTCACTGAAAGTGATACTTAAGATACATGATCCTAGTAAATACTTTAGCCTGATCAAAAGAAAATAGAAATAAGCGTGTTCTAACCACATTTTTTTTTCAGTGGTAGAGGTGGCAAGCATACTTTTGCACAATGGGTCATTTGTTGTGCCTTTTATCTTCCTGTAACTGAACTGAAAGCATCAGAGAAGAACTAAGACATTTTATATTTTTTGTCATTTCTTTTCTTTGTTACCCTGTGACCATTTGCCATGTCTTGCCTTAGGAAATGTGATAGAACTCTAGTCAAGGAACCTGAGAGCTACCATATAAGAACTGGCTCTGTCTGCAAATAATATGGTAGAATGATATTGAATCAGAATGCATGGTACAGGTGATATCTTTTATTAGACCAACTAGATTTTTGCAAAAAAAAATTCATTATCTGCAAGCTTTCAGGCACAAGCACCCTTATTAGGTGATAGGAAAAAAAACTGTAAAGGTTCTCCTAGGTAGAAATGAAAGTTTATATTTCATAGGAGAGTTGAAGATGTGGTAAAATCTTCTGTTTGGAACAGTTCATTTTATGCAGATTAGACTCAGAAAAAAGTTGGAATAGTCTGTTTATCTCAAAGTTGAAAGATGTAAAGAGCTTTTTCCCCCTTAAAGGAGTCAAAAAGAAGATTTTCCCGTGTTGCAGAGGTGTTAAGATAGTAAAGTAAATGAAACTCTTCACTGAAACTGAAATTTTTCAGATCTGGCTACTAGAAGTTTAACCACGTCTCCATAATGAATGAGGTGTCTACATAGGGTAGTAAGAGGCCTAACTAGGCAGCCATGTGTACCTGCTTGCCTTTATTATCAGACTTAAATAAGGAAGACTGTCAAAGACTTCCTACATACGTTCTTATTTCTGTTTCCTATAAAACATCTTACTGAGAAGGGAACCTTTTGAAATCATTTGAATATGCAATGTTACACTGGTTGGAAATAAGAAAACCAAGAGAAGACCATTTCAGTAGCATCTGGATAAGATGCATGGTCTGTTAAAGTAGGTTTTATTTTCTGACTTGGGCCATGATTTTTTATGCATGATGAATAAGCAACAAAAGTTGTTCATATTTTCATTTTTATTCTGCATTTCCTATGGGGGGATTAGATGGTAATGATTCCAAAACAGTCACTATTTCACTAAATAGTTCCTCCTTTGCCATGTTGGCTTCAGAAAAGAGACCTTGTTTCTTTAAATTACTGTTTTCACAGTAGCAAATCTGAAATTTTCAGTCCTGGAAATTGTGTGGCATGGTAGCCATTTCAGAGATGTTTCAGTGCCACCTGATCAAAATAGTCTAATCATATAGCCTTTTCACACTAAGAGTTCAGTAGGAATTTTGGGGTGCAAGAAATATAGAATAAAGCTCCAAAGGTAAGCAGGCAGACTCTTTAACTAAGCTTACCACACATGTGGGCATTACCTTATCACATAGAACATAAAATTAAACTTTGCAAAATCTTTCAGATTTACAGACTGTTTTCCCCCAGATGAAATGAAAAGGAAATTTTACTCCTTCCTGCTACATAAAAATCTTCCCTGTCCTTTCAAATTTAAATATTTGTAGGCTGTATTTAGGGGGGGGTGGGAACAGCTTAGTTCTCATTTTAGTACCTTTTTTATTGTGTTATCATTGTAATACGTTAAAGAGAGAATAACATGAGATAGCAAACATCAAATTGAAAGAGTTTATCTGACAGCTTAAAGCCTTAGGATAGGTTTTTACTCCTTAGTCTGTAAGGTCTGTACCTCAATCATCATTAGAAATTTGCTGATCCATTTTATATTTTACAGGAATTAAAAGGAAATCTAGCTCAGTTTTTATTTTCTTACAGCTTGACAGAAAGCAAGCTACTGCTGTGCTGGGTCAACTTAGGTACTACAAAATGATCCAACTGTATATCCTCCTGAAGGTTACAAATGCTTGCACTGTTAACAATATGCATACTTTGCATAAAAACAAACTGTTTGGGGAATAATATATATTGCAAAACTATTTTAGAATAAATACTATTGAAGCTATATATCTGAACATATAGTATATATATATAGTATATATATATATATCTGAACATATAGTAGCACCAGTAATTTTATTTATATAAGATACACTAGTAAAGCTTGGAAGATGTTGTAGTTAGATTTCACCATTCAGAGGGGCAAAGTCCTCCACACACAGGAGAGCAGGTCTAAGTTTACTTTTCTTTGTCCTCCAAGTTTGAATATAAGGGGAAGGTGGTGAAGGGGATACAATGGTAGGAGTCTACTACAGACTTCCAAATCAGGAACTAGAGCTTGGCCATCAATTTGCCATGGAACTGGCTAAGCCTGCATGCTCTCAGTGTATGGTTGTTATGGGAGACTTCAACTCCCCAGACATAGAGTGGGAAGAGCACTTAGGCAAATCCAGTCGGTCTCAAAGCTTCCTCACATGTATGGATAAGCTCTACCTGTCTCAAGAAGTTTACGGGCCAACAAGACGTAAGGTGCTGCTGGACCTGGTACTGACCAAAGGGGATGATCTAATCAGTGACCTAAGAATAGAAGGAAATCTGGGTGACAGTGACCATGAGTTGATCACTTTCACATCGCAAAGCTGGCAAGTCAGTCAGCAATGCAGTAGTTTTCAAGTTTAGGAAAGCTGACTTTCATAAGCTGAGGAGGCTTGTTGTCAAGGCCCTGAGAGGCCATGATTTGACAGGGATGGGAGTTCATGACAAGTGGTTTCTCCTTAAGGAAGTGATTCTAGAAGCACAAGGGAAGTCCATTCCAACCCATAGGAAAAGTGATAAAAGGCTCAGCAATCTCATTTCTTTCTATGACCAGGTGACACTTGGCTCAACAGGGAACTCATGGGCCTTCTACATCTAAAAAAAAGAGGCTTATAAAAGATAGAAAACAGGAAACACCACCAAGAAGGAGTATTCTGCATTGGTTTGCACCTTTAGGGAGCAAACTAGGAAAGCCCAGGCTGCAACTGAACTCAAACTGGCTATATGAACCAAGGACAATAAAAAGTCCTCCTTCAGATATGTGGGGATTCAAAAGAAAAACAAGGGCAATGTTGGACCCCTGCTAAACCAAGTGGGGAAGCTGACAACTGACACCCAGGAAAAAGCCAATCTGCTGAATGATTACTTTGCATCAGTTTTTCACCAGCCCAAATGGACTACCCTGCCTAACATGATGTGGGATGACCAGTGTGAGGGTGAATATATGCCTGCTATTGGTGTAGATCTTGTGAGGGATCACCTTGAGAGGCTGGACATCCACAAATCACCTGGTCCAGATAAATTGCACACAGGAGTGCTAAAGGAACTGGCAACATCATAGCATGGCCACTGGCAAGGATATTTAAGAACTCGTTGCACTCGGATGAAGTACCTGAAGATTGGAAGAGGGCCAATATGGTGCCTATCTTCCAGAAAGGGAGGAAAGAAGATCCAGATAGCTACAGGCCAATCAGTTTGACCTCAATCCTTGGAAAGATCTTGGAAAAAATTTATCAAAGAAACCATTCTTGACAGGCTAACAGAAGGCAACATTCTGAGGGATAGCCAGCATGGGTTTGTTGCAGGTAGGTCTTCCCTGACCAATCTCATTTCTTTCTATGACCAGGTAACACATCACCTGCACAAAAGGGAAGAGGTTGATAGCATATATTTGGACTTTAAAAAAGCCTTTCACTTGATGTCCCATTATGTCCTCATGGGCAAATTGGGCAACTGTGGCCTTGACTACACTACAGTCTGATGGCTGGGGAACTGGCTCTGAGGTCAAACCCAGAGAGTGGTGGTTGATGGAACGAAATTAACATGGTACTCGGTGACCAGTGGTATCGTGCAAGGCTCTGTTCTTGGACCTGCACTCTTTAATGTCTTTATAAACTATCTGGACACTGGTGTTAGAAGCAGACTGGCCAAGTTCATTGATGAACCAAACTTTGGGGAACAGTATCTACACTTGAGGATAGGCTGGTGATCCAAGCTCGATAGGCTTGCAAGTTGGGTGACTGAAAACTGATGGCATTCAATACAGAGAAATGCAAGGTGCTCCGCCACGGAGGGGTGTCAGGGGGGAGAGACACATCACGGCTCAGAAATGCTGCACCTGCTAGCACAATGACCAAAAGAGACTTGGGAGTCATGATCGACCACAAGATGGACATGAGCCACCAATGCAATACTGCAGCCGGCAAAGCGAACAAAACTCTGGCTTGCATCTAGCAGTGCATCTCAAGCAAGACCCAGAATGTCATCTTCCTGCTGTACTCAGCCTTGGTGAGGCTGCAGCTGAAGTACTGCATCCAGTTCTGGGCTCCACAATTCAGGAAAATTATGGAGAGGCTTGAAAGAGTTCAGAGGAGAGTCAAGCACATGATGACAGGGCAAGAGAACATGCTTTATGAAGAGAGACTGTGAGCCATGGAACTCTTCAGCCTAGAGAAGTGCAGGCTCAGTGGCAACTTGGTGGCAGCCTATAAGTACATAAAGGGTATGCATCAGGATCTGGGGGAACATCTGTTCACCAGAGCACCCCAAGGGATGACAAGGTCCAATGGTCACAAACTCCTGCAAGACCGTTTTAGGCTGGACATAAGGAAAAAAATTCTTTACTGTCCGAGCCCCCAAGGCCTAGAAAAGACTCCCTACAGAGGTGGTGCAAGCACCTACTCTTGACTCTTTTTTAAGAAACATTTGAATGCTTATCTCACTGGGATCCTTTGACCCTAGCTGACTTCCTGCCATTTGGGCAGGGGGCTGGGCTCGATGATCTTACAAGGTCCTAATATCTATGAAACCTATGGAAAAGGGGGAGCAAGGATTCCAAGTTCCAAAATTAGCCCATTTGGACATTTTCCTTATTCAATTGCAATTCAGGAATTCCCTGTCCAGATCTATATCCTATAATAGCATATTCACCACCCCAGTAATGGAAACCAATAATAACTCAGTTGGGTGCATCTTTCAGAGGAGAACTCCCACCTGGCCACTGAAACCAGGTCTGTATCATTTTGGAGGTACACTGAGTAAGAGCTCTGGTATAAGAACACAGTACTTATTTAGGGACCATTAAGTACCCTAACTCTGTAGCACAACTTAAGGCTGCTAGAAGTATCAAAGATAACACTCACCCATGGATGCCACGTCCTGAATCCTGTTGTGGCATTGTGGTCGAGCCCCTTTTTCACAGGTTGACCTGCACCACGTACCCTGTTAAGAGACTATGCTACCTTCTCGGGATGCTCACCCTCCATGGCTTGATGGCATTAAAGTAGAATTCTATCCCAGAATAGAAAACCAGCTCTGCTGTCAGGGCTCTCTTTCTACTAGCCCAAAATAATTAGCAATGGCCTGGAGTGAGGCCTCACAGGCCTATAACAGGGGCTCCTGCAACCCCTACACCTCCACCACAGTCCTCTGGGTTGACTTAAGGGCTCTTGGTGTTAAGGCTTCACAGACAGGAGCTAAACACTGTACCTTCCTGGCTGACTTCCGGGATTTCCCCACAGTCCATCAGTCACAAAAATAAAGAAATATGGGCAGGTGTGCCCCTCACCCCCTACCACCGTCGCTCTCCAGTGTAGGGTTTCCTTTTTCACAGCTTCATGTGTCCTTTTTTGTTCTCCTCCACATGCTCCCAGCCTGTTAGCATTGGCTTCTGGTCTCCAGCTGCAGCTTATCTGTCCTATATTAAGGCAAAGCACCTGGGATGAGTTGGGATCAGGTATTTCTTCCCTTGAGGGCATAAACTGGCTTCTTTTCCCTCTAGGGAACTCTGTTTCTCAGGGGGACCATTTATGGGGCTGGACCACAGCTGTGCTGGCCACTGTACTGCCCTGAGCATCCCTGCCACCCATCCCTTCACTTCTGGGCCTACTTGCACCTCAGCTTGGGGGAACTCCTGAGGTTAAGAGGGTTATCCCTCTCATGCCCCTGGACCTATCTCAAGGCTTCCTGGGAGTGCTGAATAAGGACCAGCTCTCCAGCTGCCATGCTCCAGCAGCCACTGAGGCTTGTCCCATCACTAGTGAGGCAGCTTGCCTCCCAGATGCTGAGGAGAAGGGAGCAAGTGGGGATTTCCTCCCCATGATGACTCCTGCTCTCTTACAGGCATCTTTACCCTCCTTTCATACCTGTACCAAAAAAAGCACCACCAGGGAAAGACAAAGGCCATGAAAAACTCACTGTTAAAGACCACATTTACTAAACATTAGCACATAATACTAGGTGATATTAGGTACTGTATTGCTGAAAAGAGTTAACTGTGGTACCATTAATACCTCAGTGGTTATTAGGTGGTGAGTTTTTTAAGTGGTGGCTACTGTATCAGTCTTATGTTACTTAGTGCCACTTTTCTCCAAACTGGCCTTTTTGCCTCAAATAACTATAAGTTACTGCAGTCATCTCTATATTTACTCTAGCAAGTACAGTAAATAAGTATTATATAAATTAAGGTTCAATATACAAGTTTTAATGGTTGGTCACCATTAAAAAAAAGTTCTAGGTCACCCTAATGACAAATTTTCATGAATTGCTAAATTATTGATAATCTACTACCCTAAATTCACCTCTACTGAATTATTTATAAAAAACAAGTTTCATGAATGTCTTGATAGTGGTTTTGTGTAATGTTAAGAGCAGGATAAAAGCCTCTCTCTTCCCAATAACACTCAATACTGTTTTTTGTAGACCATTTAGTATAATATATTGGCTTCATACATTTCCAATAGTTGCTTTGAAAAATAGATAGAAGTGATAAATGAGATGTTCATCTATACGGAATTTTTCATTTAGTTTGAGCTTAAATTTAAATTGATGTACAAGTTTGACATGATAGACTGTAGTCATGTAATTTGAAATTAATCTTACATAAGAGCATGTTGCAGGATGTCCAGCTTTATTAAGACAAAGAATCGCAAAGTTTTATGTCTAATCTTACATGATTTTAAGTAAGACAGTTTTTAAATAAAGCAATTTTAAAATACTCCATGATAGATATTTTCAAAAATGTTCCTCAGATCCCATTTTCAAAATGACTTCGTCCCATCTGAACACTGGGTCTTAGCTTTTAAGTTGGTTAGGTACTGTTTAAACTTCACCAATATTCCCTGCTTTTCAAATTTGTGCTTTAAGTCACAGACAAATACTGAACCAAGGAGTGAGACAGTGACTTTATAACCTGAGATATAAGTTGTTCCCAAAAGGTATTTTTTCTAGAAACCTTAAATTTCATGCCAATAATCTTACTTTTCATGCCAAAAACACAACTAAAAAAATGAAGATGAGCATAGCTTATTTAAAACTGTACTGAAATTAAAAAGGAACTATGACAATGAATCACCAGCTTAGCAGCAAATTGGAAAATGAGAGAAAAAATAATAAGAGCTTATCAGATGCAAAAAAGCACCAGCAGTCAGCTGCAAAATGACCACTTTGGGGCTCCAGCATCTTGTGCTTGCCAAATGTAAAGGCCTAGCCCGCAAATCTATGCAAGGGGAGGAAAAGGTTCATATGAAAAAATGACTCTACACTGAAGAAAGTAAATAGAGACTAAAACACTAATTCTGCTGACATGTACATACTTACTGTCCATAATGAGACTACTTGTATAATTAATTTCATGTATAAGCACTTGTACTAGCAGGGTCTAAAAAGTTAACATAATACTTCAGAATGAACTGTTTTGGTGTTGTACCAGTCACAAATACTGAATTTCACCTTCACAAGATATGGAAATATTCCTTGGCTTAATAAAATTAAACCATTTCCGTGACCATGCACTATGAAATGTTTCTGGGCTTTTTGTTTGTTTTTTTGCAAGTTAAAACTTCAAAATATGCACCTCAATCAATTAGATCAGGTACCAACTAGTAGCTCCCTGTAATTATTAGCTTTTATTGATATTTGGTCCTTATAAGCTGTGGAGAAAAACACTTTCTCCTGAAAGAAACCCCCTTCCTGCATACTGCTCACAGTTTAGGTCCCTGATCCTGCAAACACTTATGCACATATGTAACTTCACTACCAAGTTTCCCATTTAAAGTCCATTGCCATAGTACTATTAAGCCAACACTGACATGGTTGCTGAATCAGTGTAAGTAGTCTTAATCCTTTGAGTAGATCCACACAAAACCGCTTGCAGGATGAGAGCTTAAGCTAGTAGTCTCCAAATGTTCTCATATTAATGATATTTTTAACAAAGGCCAAAGGAAAATTAATTTTCATAGGATTGCTCTGTTAAGGAATATACCTTTGCCTCCCACTTTGGAATGAGACAATCCCAAGAAAGTTGCTGCAAACAGTTGTTGTATATGTACCTGAGGTTCCTTTCAGAACCCACAATGGTAAACCATGCCGGAAAAATGATCCCCAAACCCTTCTTTATGGAAGCTTTTCTCATTTTTCTTCTTCCTGAGTATCTGATTATGGGTTTGGTAATGCTGGCAATATGAAAATAACATATTTACCTGAATCCAAGACTATTTTGAATTTAAAGTGACCCTGCCTCCAATAATTAGATTCTATAAATTTGTTATAATTATCCATGTATAAAATCTATTAGAGGGTCATCTTAAATTCATCCTCCTGACTGCTGTGGTGGGGCAAGAAGTAGCAGGGGGTTGAGGGGGAGAGAGAGGAGAGAGTCAAGATCAGGAGTGAGCAAACTACAGCCTGTGGGCTGGATCTGGCCTGTAAGGTCATTCTATCCGGCATGGGGGGCCCCTAAAAAATTTAGAAAATTAATATTCATCTGCCCTTGGTTCCTGTCAAAGATGACAGGAACTAAGGGCAGTAGGACCCAGGGGAAGCCCGGTGAGCTCCCACAACACCAGGGCCCAGCTGGGGCTTCTGGCCTGGGACCACATGGCTGCTCTGCATGGAGCTGTGAGCAGCTGCAGCAGGAAGCACGGGCCATGGGGCAGGGGAAGGGCCACTTTTCCCCTCTCACGCTCAGCTTTTCCTCGGGTTCCTTCCCGGCATGGAAGAAAGCGGTCCCTCACTCACCCCATGGCCAGTGCCCTGCACTGCAGCCACTCATACCCCATGCAGGGCTGTCCAGAGCAAGAGCAGGCAGTTCCAGGTGGGCTGTGAGTGGCTGCAGTGAGGGGCTCCGGGTATGGAGTGGGAAAAGGCTGCTTTCCCTCCACCCCCCATGCTCAGCACCAACTTGTAACCCAGCCCCACTGCCAGCCTGAGCCCTGTGCCAGCTCCGGGCTCACCTGTTGGGGCTGCGCATGGTGACAGCAGCTGCAGCCCCCCCACTTGCCGCACCAGGCAGTGTTTGCCACCACAACCTGTGGACTGCCCAGCATGTGCTTTCAGTGGGCAGCAGCAACCAACACTGCCTGGCATGGTATGTGAGGGAGCCGCAGCTGCTGTCGCCAACGGGTGAGACCAGAGCTGGCTTGGAACCCAGGCTGGCAGTAAGGCTGGGTTACAAGCTGGTGCTGAGCACAGGGAAAAGAGGCCCCTTGCTCGCTCCATGGCTAGCACCCCACACTGTAGCCACTTGCAGCCCGCACAGGGGTCAAGGTGTAAAAAGACAAGCTCCCACAATGTAGAAAGCCTATTACTTTAATATTAGTATCTCAAGAAAATGAACTCTGTTCCTCATCTGACACCCCACTTTGAATAACACCAAAAAAGTACCACTGAGGAAATACAAGATAGTAAAATGCAGCCTGACCTTACTGTACTTCTGCCTACCAGGCTCCTAAAGTTAGCCAACCTTCCTTTTACCCATTTAACATATTTATACACTTGGTGAATTAGACAATCATATAAAAGCAAAGGAAGTCATGGTGCAGTGACCATAGCAGAAAGCTCTGGTCCACAGAAACCAGAATCAGTAGTCTGTGCTTTCTTCTTTTTTATTAGCAAGGATACCTTGGCAAAGTTGTGCAATGTATAATTTAATGGCAAAACTAAAACCTTATTTTCAGAGAGTACAGAAAAATAGAGCAGTGAAAGGATGTTCATAAAACAATTACTTTAGGCAAAGCAATCATTCTTCTCCCAAGTGGGTACTTTGTGAAACAGAGCATGTTTCAAGAAAAATATTTTTAAATGGATTTAAATAAGAAAATGCTTAATAAAATGCACAATAAAATGAATGGCCTCCAAAAGAGTTTGAAGCAGTATTCCTACCAACAAAACTAGTGCACAGGAGTATTAGTTGCGTATGTGTAAGTATAATAGCACACAGCCATTGCTTGAATCTTGCATGTCTGCTCAGAGTGAGGCAGTGAAGAAGACCCCAACCGTCGCACCTTATTATATATGCTGTAAATGCTCTTCTGAGAGGCTGGGGGCTGCAAGCCCCCTGACCACATGCTTCATGGGCCACAAGTCTCTGAAGCTACTTTGTGCATGGGATGCATCATGCTATGCTATGTCACAGGCCACATACCACATCCCCATGTTGCACTGTGCTGGTGCTCCAAGGAGTGGGGCCCTGAAATGGAAGCAGGAGAAGGAAGAGGGAGCCTTGAGACTGCAGTGACAGCTGCAAGAGTGATGTGGGGAGCAGTACCTGAACCAGGAGCCCAGGGGCTGCAAGTTAGTCTCTCAAGGGCTGCATGAAGCCTGTGAGCCACCACTTGGATAGTCCTGTTCTGCAGTATCCAATGAAGTAACCTAGTGAAGTAATGCTTTGAGAATTTAGCTATATTTTGGGGTGCTGGCTGACATCATTATCCTTTCGTATCATTTTTTTCATGGGACCATTCAAGATGGCCACTATGGGATGCCTACATTCATTCATTCATTAAATGAATGAGCCACTCTCTCCCAGAAAGCCCAGGGACTTTTACATGTTGACAGGCTGAAGAACTCTCTCCCAGGTCCGGCCAGTGAAGAAGGATGATCACTTCTGATTAAAACATTCCCCAAATGTCTTCTAAAACCCTGCAGAGCATCATGAAAATGGAGGAGATCCAGAAAACCACCATTTGGTGCTTCAGTCCGTCCAGCAGTGCAAAGTATTGTCACCCTATTTGCAACGAAATATCACAAGAACAGCCTGTTCTCATAGTGGGATGGAGACTAAGCCTTCCCATAACATTTCCAGTGCCAAGCAGCCAGTCACCCATCTGCCTGCCAGCAGGAAAGGGAAAACAAATGAAAGATGGGGCGGAGAAGCAACAAGCGGAGGTTGAGGATAAGAAAGAAACATCTGTTAAGGGGACAAGAAGAAGTGAGGAGAAAAAGAGCAAGAGAACAGAGAGAAACGAAACATCTCAGAACAAAACATAATGGCAGAAAAGAAACAGAGCAACAGAAAGATTGAGAGAAAAATGTGAAAATAGAAATGATGGAAATATTAATGAGAGAAGACTGGAGATGTATATAAAAAATGAATGCTGAAAAAAATGGTTTATTTTACCAATAATCTAGGATTATCAACAGGAGAGGGTTTTTCTCTGCATAGGAGGCTTTTCCGGGGTTTTTTTTCTCCTTTCTTTTTTTAATCTTGAGCTCTTGGCTTCTGAAAGCCCATTCTGTAAAAATGAATTGAGGATTGATCTGGACAAGCTAACATTTCTGTTTCTATGAATGAAAAAGCACTGTGGAGAAACTTCATCCATGTTTAGATGAGCTCTCTGAATCGCCTGGCTAATTCCAAGACAATGGAATTCACATTCATTTGTAGCTGCAGAGAAAGGGGAAGTAAAGCAAAGGAGAAGGCAAGGAAGACAAAAAAGGGAAAGGAAGTCATAGGATCCCAGCAAGATAAACATCCGAATTTCTCCTGAAGGTGTTCAAAGTACGTGCTTGAACCACTTCCGGCAGCA